AACAATATTAATGTAACCTGTTCTGGTCTAAGTTTTGTTTGTGAATACATCCAGTTTGAACAGTGCTACTCAGAATTGGATGCTTTTCTTCAGTTATGGTTCTTCCATGATTTTGTTATATTACTCCCACTAACAGACTTCTGATTAGATTAGTGCTTTTTTTTTTACACATTCAGCAAATATTTGAATTTTTTCAATACCCAGCATATATATACAAGGCAGTGTACTAAGTTTGGGGATACAAATTTGAATTAATCAGATACAATCCTTGTCATTTAAGGAGTTACTTTCTAATGGAGAAGATATTCAACAACAAAGCTGGTTCATATTAATTTTTGTCAAATTCAAGTCTTAGATCTCCCCCTCTTTTTCACAACCTGCTTCTTGATGGCACTTAAGAAGCTCTGGTAGCATAGTGGTTACAAGTCAGGCTGCCAACCACAAGGTCAGCAGTTTGAAACTACCAGCTGTTCCATGGGAGAAAGATGAGGTGTTCTGCTCCCATAAAGATTTACAGCCTCGGAAACCCTATACAGGGTCACTATGAGTCAGAACCAACTCCATGGTACTTAACGACAACAACAACTTGACGGCACTTAACAACAACCTCAAAAGGAGTCCTGGTGTGGCACTGTAGGATAAGCACTGGACCACAAGGTCTGTTTGAACCACAAGATAGGTGGTTCAAACTCACTAGCCACTCCTCAAAAACTCTATACAGGGTTGCTATGAGTTGGAATCAACTCGATGTTACTTAACAACAACCTCCAAAGTAGAAACATGAGACTACTAGCTTTATCTGGGGATTTATAGCGTAGTGGTTACGAATCGGGCTGCGAACCTTAAGGCCAGCGGTTCGAAACTACCAGCCGCTCCGCGGGAGAAAGATGAGGCTTTCTACTCTCGTAAAGATTTACACCCTCAGAAACCCTGTACAGGGTTGCTATGGGTCGGAACCGACTCGATGGCACTTCACAACAACAACAATAGAGAAACAGGGAAACTCATATTTACTTACAGTGCCAAATTTTAAATTCCATATTTATTAAATTAAAAAAAAAAATGACAATGGAAACAATGAACCTCTGAAACAAGTATGAGCCTGGAACCTATGCTATCTTTTCTTTATAAATTCTTACAGAATTTCCCACTTAACAACAACAGCAATGGTAATAAAAATTAAAAACAGTGCTTTTGCCATTAACTCTGGCATGCTGAAGGGAAAATTCACATAGGATCAAGTGCTTTGTGTGAGAGATATTTTGAGGGCACACAATTTAGTTAAATCTAGCTGCGAAGTGCACCACAAAATAAAATCCAGTTTCAAGATATTGAATGTCATTCATGTTTTCACCAAATTTTGATCCTCAAATAGCCTTACGATATCTACCTATTCTATCCACATTTATCCAACCAAAACTAAACAGCCTTTATTCCAGACAAACCATATTTAATTTTAAGTCGTTTAATGAAAGTAATCTAGCAGCAATCCTTGCTTTCTGGCCAAGGGCCTTAGGTGCCCCAGATGCTTTAGAACATCACTCTTGGAGATCATGGTCATTACTGAATAGAAAGGTACATAAATTTTTGTGGACCCTATAGGGTGCGTTGTGTTTTCTCCAGATGCAGTTCCTCTTCTTTCTTGCAGCAGAACTCTACTAAGTCCAAGTAAAGAAAGAGATGTTTTACTAAAATAACGTAAGCAGTAATCAAAGAGGTTGTCAATTTGGGAATATAAAAGTCTATTTGTTTTAAAGATATCCAACCTGCAAGACCCAGAACTCTCCAAATCCATTTAGAGTAGATTTTTTGGGGAACCAAATAGTTGACAAACACCAATGAAGACTGAAAGAAAGTCTGGACTCTGACAGAAAGAAGTCAAGCGGTCCCAGGAGTCAATGGAAGGGGTTACTGGCAGATTAAGTAAGCAGGTTTTTCCACTCTACTAAAATAATTTCTCAATCTTCATGATTTCACTCAAATTTATTTAGAATTTATATAATACTGAATTAGACACTTGAGGGATATGCAAAGACTATAACATAATCAGTGACCTCAAGTAGCTTATAGCTTTTGGGGGAAAAAAAAAAAAGACATAAAATCAATGCAGAATTGATGAGATTCCGCAGAGAGGGTACAAAGGAATAATAATGGTACATATAACTATAGACATTTGCTCCCCTCTTTTGACATTTTAAATATTTATTGTAAGTGATTTATTGGCTTCAATAAACTGAGTTATTTTGGAGTGATTATTTTAAGCTGTCTGCATTTTGTTGTTTTTATAACAAAAATAATTCATCTTCATCCTCCCAATTATATTCTGTTTTAATTTCTATTTGTCAGTTTCTCATTCAAGTCAGATTCTTAGTCAATGAAAGATCAGTAATTAACGTAGATGGTTGTTGTTGTCAAGTGCCAGTCGAGTTGGTTCTGACTCCTAGTGGCCCAGTATAGGGTTTCGGAGAAGGGACTGATGGATTTGAACTGCTAACCTTGTGATTAGCAGCAGTTCACTGCTTATCCTACAGTGTCACACCAATACTCCCACAATAAAAATTTTACGTCTTTGAAGGAATGAATATCCAAAGGGTTATGTTATAGTCAGTATTTCATCAGAAAGGAGGAAAACTTGTATTGCCTGTGTTTCATTTCTCAAAATTCAGACATCCATCTCTAAAACTTTAAACCATAGCAATTAGATTGTTCTCCACTGGTTCCTGGGCACATCCTCCTTTGTACTGATTTGTTGTTGTTTAATGACATGGAGTCCATTACAACTCATAGCGACCCTGTTTAGGGCTTTCAAGGAGTGGCTGGTGAGTTTGAACTGCCAAACTTGCAGTTCAATACTTATCCTACAGTGCCACACCAGGACTCCTTGTATTTGCTGTTGCTAAGTGCCGTGGAGTCGATTCTGACTCATAGGCACCTTGTACAGGGCTTCCAGGGAGCATCTGGAGGGTTTGAACTGCCCACCTTGTTGTTCCCAGTCCAATGCTGATCCAACAAAGCCACACCAGCTGACTCTAAAAATCTTGAAAAACGACAAAAGTTGTCAATACCAAAAGCTACCATAACAAGGGCTAGCTGCAGTTACACCACATCATGAGTTTTAAAACAATTTCCACTTGCTTTCTGATTATGGCTACACGTTGTAAATCCTGTTCTGTCGTCCTCACCTTGGCAGTGGCATGAGGGGAAGCACCCTTCTCCAGTAACAGCAGCGCCACCTTCTGGTTGTCATAATGAGCAGCAACATGGAGCGGGGTAAGGCCATTCTGTAAAGGGTGTGTTTAAATTTCAGCATTAATAAATTAGTGCTAGCTGCCCTAAGGCTACAAGGATTCATGGAAACGGAAATTGATTAAATGCGTGTTAATTAATTAACTAATTAATATAGTCAGTGGAAAATAAACCAAGATCTAATCATTTTTATATTAGAAATTTAACTCAAACTGTTAAATTTAACTCGAACTGTTAATTTACAGTTCGTAAAATCCATTTTGTTGTAGTCAAGTATGCCCATTGATGCTTACCATAAACAGAGATCTAAAATGCTATGTACAAATTTACTATAGTCCTGGGTCCTGTTTTGAGAACAAGGCCCAAGCACAGTTTAAAAACCTCTGAAACTGTTAGTACGTGGACAGATCACTGACAGACATCTTTACCGTATCAATTCGGCATAGTTTCATCGTACTCCATTTATTAGAGTGAGGCATAGATCATTAAATACAAATCTCCAAATCTTCAAACTCGATGGATTGATGTAACTAAAGTATATGACAGAACTTTTACCTTCCCTGCAGAATCTGCGGCAGCGCGGCGTTGCAAGAGAAGTTTTGCCACCTCCAAGCTTCCATACTTGGCTGCTACATGCAGTGGAGTAAAGCCCTTCTAAAAATATGAAGGACAAAAGATGATATTTAGTATTTCATTTTGTGACTACCAGAAGAGTTTTTTTTTAATTTACGAGTATATAAGCTAACTCTGTTGACTCTTCATAAGAGAAAACACTGATAGCATTAAATCTGCCAGTCATAAAGACTAGAATAATGAACAAAGTATAGCAAACAAAAGATGGGCTTGATACACTGAACAAAACAAAAATTTCATTTGTAGGATTTGGAGACTGAAACTTGACTTTATAGGTCTGGAATTTACAAAGCCACTGGTGGCAATAAACTGGCCCTGATTTGTGTGAGTGGAAAGAAAAAAAAAAAAAAAAAAAAAAAAAAAAAACTCCTAAAACCTGTCTTTTTGTCCTCTTAAATTAATACACTTGCGACACAGTTGCTTTTCCTCCAATCTCTCATCCTTTTTTTTTAAACACCTGAATTCAGAATTTCTTTATTCAAATTTTAAGATCCTTCATTCAGTTGATTTGTATTTGCAACAGAAATATCTAGATAAATAGTCCACAGAACAAAAAATGATTACCATTAGAAAGCACTTCCTATTCGGGCTCTTGTCCCCTTTCCCAGAAGACCCACACTGTATAAAAGACCAATTCCTCTGGTAAAATACATTCTACCTTTGGCATGATGTTGGGCTGATTAACACCAGACTTTTAAACACACTGAAGCATTAAAGCTTTTAAAAAAAAAAACAAATCTCCTATATATGTTTATATGTACACATTAAATGTCTTGTGCAGCCAACAGTCACCCTGTGTAACTAACAATATGTTGCAAATACTGATTAATCCATAAACTCAGATCTAGAGGTTGGCACAGTTCCTACGCCATGATTTCAAAACCATCGTCTTGGCCAGACAGTTTAACCACATGCTCTTTTGGCACTCCAGTGGGATAATTTTAAAGCTGACCAGTGTGTGTAAATACACCCAGCAAAAAATGCCTGGAAGGTGCTATAAAGTATGGCTTGCCCTCCGGATAATTTAAGCTCTTATTATAAATACAGAATATCCCCCCAAGAAGCAGTACTACCCCTATCACAATACCACCAGACAAATTGTAACTAAGATGCTATTTTTCTTTTTGCTTACTTTTAAACATTTGGTACTAATCAGTCCTTGGAGGAGAGTGAAAATTCCAGTTAATTTTCCAAGTGTGGGACAAATGTAGGAAGTTTTTCCTCCTTTTTTCACTAGTCCGTAAAAACCAGTACTTGTTACAGCTATCCCTTTTCCACCCAATGCACTCACTGATTGGGGTGACCTTTTGGGTGAAGTATAATTCTTTGAGACAAACCACATGTTGAGGAAGAAAAAAAAATGAACTTATTCTTTAAAGTCCTGCTGTAATAGTGGTCCGACCCCTTTATAAATTTGGAAACCCTTATTAGTTCCAACTACATAGACTTTTCACTGTAAAAACACAAAACAGAGGTTGGAAAGCATCTCTGGAGTCAGACACCTCCCTTCTTCCCCTATGTTAATCTCCTCAGGGCTTCATCTACCCTGACATTTATAAACACTGAAATAGCTGTAGTGATCATGAGTCAGCTACTGTTCAAAACCCTCATTAGTTCCACTGTAAATCAGGCCTGTTTAACACATCTTTTTTTCCCCTATTTACTATGTCTTTAAATATATTTTTTTAAAGCCTAAAAATCTTTGGAAGACAAGGGACTATGTTTTACTCTCTATTTCTGTGTCTCTTATTTTATTTATAATGCTGATTGATGGCATAATCACCCAGACTCTGATGGGTCATTGTGATTATTATTTTTATCATTTAGTTTTTTTATTTTTTTAATCTCTTAAATTCTTCAGAAATTTCAGAGTTTAAATAATTACCAATGCTAAATATCAAACTTTGTTTTTTTTTTTACAACCATAGGCAATCAGATAAACCATAACAGCTAGATTGAAAGATTAGCTCAGATTATATTTATAAACTTCCTCTTCCCCTGAATGTTGTATTAATGCCTATTTACTATGGTCAAGTTGAAAATGTCTTTTGATTACTCCAAATCACTGTAATACTTATGGAAATTTCTTTTGCCTTGTAACAAAATCACTTGGTTGTACTGATATTTTCCTGACTCCTCTGCACTAGGTCAATTTTTCTCACTCCAATGAACTAAGTGTGCTCATGTTTAGAAAACTTCAAATTACACTGCTCTATTAAGGAGCTCTGGTAGCGTAGTGGTTACGAATTGGGCTGCGAACCTTAAGGTCAGCGGTTCGAAACTACCAGCTGCTCCGCGGGAGAAAGATGAGGCTTTCTGCTCCCGTAAAGATTTACAGCCTTGGAAACCCTGTTCAGGGTCGCTATGGGTCGGAACTGACTCGATGGCACTTAACAACAACAACAACAACATTATGAATCTTAGGGGTCCTGGTGTGGCGCTGTGGACTAATGCGTCAGACTGCAAAGTCGTTTGAACCACAAGGTGGGTGGTTCAAGATCACCAGCTGCTCCTTGGAAACCCTATGCAGGGTCGCTATGGGTCAGAATCCACTGGATTCTTAAACATCAGTAAAATTGAGGCTAAGGAGCTCTGGTAGCGTGGTGGTTACGAATCAGGCTGCGAACCTCAAGGTCAGTAGTTCGAAACTACCAGTTGCTCCGCAGGAGAAAGATGAGGCTTTCTGCGCCCGTAAAGATTTACAGCCTCGGAAACCCTGTTCAGGGTCGCTATGGGTCGGAACCGACTCGATGGCACTTAACAACAACAACAACAACAACAAAATTGAGGCTAGTGCATAGTCTCGTTAATGACTGAAACAACGTAAACAATGTCTTTCAGGATACCTCTGTTTAAAACACTGCAAAGTACCTGGAAAAATTATAGCTGGTAAATCAGAATGGGAATGGGAATGCCAAACAGATGATAGCTGATACTAAAAACGGAACAAGGCAAAATTAAGTGACTACACATCTAGGTAGGACTACATTTCTCAGCAAATGTGTATTAGTGGTCTAGAGCAATATTCTCTTCCTTATCAGCAATATTACTTCGGTGTATTGAGGAATCATTCTGTTTTTCCCTTTTGTGACTACATGATGGATTTTATAATGAAAACAAAAGAGAAAGTAATCCCTGTCCTAGGAAATTCATTTTGGTTTAAATACTGGATACATATGTATTAGAAACAACACTGTCATTAATTACTAGAATGAAATCCAGTATTCTTTACTGGATATATCATGTGGAATCTTTGATCATCTAGGCCATGAATCTAAAATATTAAAAGAGACGTAAATCAAAGAGCTAATGGAGACCTACTCATGATATTAGTGCAGTTTGGCGGAAGGACTCTGTCTTAGGGATGCGGTCAGTCTTCACCATACAGTGCCATTCCTCTTACCTTGGTAGCCAAGGAGTGGGCCGCTCCTGCTTCTAAGAGGACTGATGCCACGTCTACCTGGCCCTCCCTGGCAGAGATGTGCAGTGGCGTGTACCCATTTGTAGTGGCCGCATCTGGATGAGCCATATGTTGTAGAAGCAACTGGACAATTTCTGTCTTACCCAGGCGGGAAGCAATATGCAAAGGCGTCTGTTCTTCCTACAACTCAAGTCAAGTCAAAAGTTAGTGCCAGGGCAGACCATAGTTTACTGGTAAGATATTTCACTCAGAGGTCTTCTGCCATCTTCTTGGACCCTCCAGGAACGCCTATCCAAAAGGAAATTATTACTACTCTGCTCAAAACTTATTTTATATTTTACTATAGAAGTTTGGCATCAAAATCTCCTTTAGATATTTTTAAAGTAAGTACCTCTGTAAATTGGTCTTTGTGTTTTGGACATCCAAAAATCTTTCACAACTAATTAAGGCTTCACTCCTTACTTATGTTTAAATATAAACCAAGTTGCCAATTTGACTGAGAAACAAATTTAGTCCAGAAGTTCTAGATTCTTGCCGAAGAACTTTCCTTTCACTAAAAGGGAGATTCATTCTGGGAATTGCATCAAGTGAAACGAACCAGAGATGTCAGAACATTTTTGTTCTTAACTCCACTCAGCAAGCCAAGGATACAAATACTATGGATAAAGAAGATATTGTATTATGATTGAAAAAGATGGTCCAGTAAAAGCTGCAAATAGGTCTGGGATCAGCATTAAGGATTTCAAGAATGAAATAGAACTCTAACAGGAAGTAAACGGGGTTAACTATTTGTCAAGTACTTTTCCTTTAAAATCAGACAGCGAATATAGTTGGCATGAGGGAGCAGCAAAGCCATGCCTGAGGAGGCTCAAGAAATCACCTGACTCTAACGTGTAGTCAGGATAAATGTTTTCAGTGTTAAGAGAACCAGGCCAAAGCACTGTCCCTTGTAGAAAGGAAATTGTGTGTATCCTTAGTGATGAAAAGAGGTACATCTTACAATCTGCCTAAGGGCAAGCCATAATAAAAGTGAGGAAGGAAAAACAGAGCTTCCAGGGCTGAAAATGAATAGAGAAAAGAAATAATAGCGTGAAGATCTGTCCAAATAAATGCAGAGACCTTATAATAGACCTGAAAGAGGGGCATAAAATGTATTTTAAGACCATTTCTAGATATAGAGATTTAGAAGAATCAAATAACTTCTCCAGGATTGCCCAAAGTTACTTAACTGTTTAAACAAGACTTGAAATCAGGCATACTGATTCTAACCACATTATTTATTTGCTATTCAATCTACAGAAAGAAATACAATAAGACGTTCTAAGAAAACTCGTGGGACAAGGTAACTATCATTTGGAAACAAGACTGAGAGCACTTGAGAAGCTATACCTTTCTCTGAAACACAAAGAGTAAGAATTTACAAATATGAATGATTGGCAAAGCAAGCAAACAAAAACACAAGGAACTTGATAAAAGCTATGGTGAACATCTGTTGTTACTGCATTTTCCTTATTGAACTTCTGCCCTACAGATGGTAAGAAAGATGGCACTCTTATGAAATGTGTTTTTAGATGAGTAAAAAGGAGAATTGGGGCAGTGAAAACTACTTAACCCATAACTGACAAGTGACAATCTTTGACAGTGGTAACCAAAACATTAAAAAAAAAAAAAAATTATTGTGAATGAAGAGAAGGTTTATAGAGAAGATCTTCAGTTTTACATTCAAGAAATCATGCACTTTGCTTCATCTCAATGACTACAAGCCCTTCCATTCAACAATAGCTATTCCATTTCTTTCTTGTGATTCCTATTTCCATTCCACCCTCCTTTCCATCTCTTCTCAATTTTGTCCTTAGGGAACTGTTGCCCCTTTGATTTTGAGTAATTACCATTTTGTGGTGCGCATACCTAACTGACGTTTTTGTCCCCCTTATGTATCTATGTGGAGTCCTGGTGTGGCGTTGTGGGTTAATGTACCAGACTGTAAAGTTGTTTGAACTGCAAGGTCGGCAGATGAAGCTCACCAGCTGCTCCTCGGAAACCCTATACAGGGTTGCTATGGGTAGGAACTGACTCGATGGCACTTCACAACAACAAATATATCTATGTATAGGGTCACTATGGGTTGGAATCGACTCAACAGCACTTAACAACAATATATCTATGTACTGTTTGGCTGAAAATTGGGCCATGATGGTGAGATTCATTCTAGACCTGTAGGGTGGCCCCCGGCCTGAGCCTCAGGTTCCCCCAGTCTCTTTCTGACCAGTAAGCTTGGTCTTTTTTTTATAATTCTGAGTTTTGATCCACATTTTCTTCCATTCTATTCAGAACCTTCTAAATGTGAACCCTTTCAGAATAATTGGTAGTGGTAACTGGGCACCATCTAGTTCTTCTGGTCTCAGAGTTGCAGTGACTGATGTTCACCTGCTTCATTGGTCCACTGGACTAGTTTATTCCAAGCATCTTCCACTTTCATCAGTCTTCTTTCTTCTGCACATGAGACACCAATCGTTATACCTTAGATGGCCACTCATAAGATCCCAGTTGTACTCACCAAAGTAGAATGTAGAATATTGTCTTTATGTAACATGTTGTACCAATTGACCATTTGTGTTTGTTAAGTGTTTCTGAATCTGTTCCAACCCATAGTGGCCCTGCATAGGGTTTCCAAGAAGCGGCTGGTGAGCTTGAACCACCAACTTTGCAGTTTAAACTGACTTTTCAGTCCTGAGCATTAGCCCACAGTACCATACCAGGACTCCTTGGTGTCCCCTAAACTATGGTCCTGAGTCCCCAGACACAGCAATTCATTGCCTTAAGATGTTTTAATATCTAAGAAGTTCAAGATGAGTTTTAATTGCTTTTGAGTGAGAGAGCTAGACAATGAATAAGAAAGACTGAAGAAGAATTTTTTGTCTTTGGATTATGATATTGACAAAGAATATTGAATATACCGTGGACTGCCAGAATAATGAACAAATCTATTGGAAGTACAGCCAGAATTCACCTTAGAAGCAAAGTTAGTGTGATATCATCTCATGCTGTAGTATCAGGAGGGACTGGAGGACATAATGCTTAGTCAAGTAGGGTCAGCAAAAACAAAAACAAAAAGAAAGAGTAAGACCCTTAAGAAGAAGGATTGATATAGTGGTTGCTACAATTGTCAGGAGGGACCAGCCACTGACGAAGGATACCATGTTTGGTAAGGTGGAGGGTCAGAGAAAAAGAGGAAGACCACCAACGAGATGGATTGGCAAAGTGGCAGCATCAATAGGCTTAAGGGTGGCAACAATTGTGAGGTTGGCACAGGACTGGGCAGTGTTTCATTCTATTGTGTCACTATGACTCGGTACCGATTTGATGGCATCTAACAACAACAACAATAGACTTAAAGATACCACGCCCTGTGAGGATGGTGTTGAATCAGGCAGTGTTTTGTTCTATTTACATAGGGTTGCTATGATTTTGAACTGACTCAATGGCACTTAATAATGACAGCATCCAAGTAACTGATTAGATTTTTCTATTAACTAATGTATCTTGGGCATTACCAAATTTTCACATTAGTAACGCACATGTTATATGGAGTTTGCAAACTGCACACCCCCATCAAGCCTTAGTCTACTCTGCACACTATGTGTACCATTTACATGGGTGCATTATTGAAAAAAAATATATATATATGAAAGTCATAGCCCATTGCCATCAAGTCAATTCCAATTCAAAATGACCCTGGTACAAGTATTAGCTTTCCAAAGTTAACAAATAAGCTGTGTTGTATACGTTCTTCAAATTTTGAAAGCAGAAAAGTAAGAACATAGAAAATTTTCCAAGAAAATAATTTCAATCTTTCAATGTCTTGGTGATCAGAATTGTAAACGTTGGATTTCCTGTCACAAACTAAAGTTCATGTAAGACATAGCAAATAATTGGAAACCTGCATTAATTAAGATTTCTGGGAAGAGCTAAAGTGATGGAGAACCTGATCTCCCAGATACCTTCCAAATATCGCCAGTAAGAACCCCTTCATCTTACAGCATCACGAACCGTGATGCAGTCTGGATCAGGAAGTAGATGAAGTCTGCTTTATCATCACAACCTAGTATTTTACTTTGTCCAAGGCAAACAAAACTATGAAGACTTGCTGAGCCCCATCTCCTTTCACCAAGAAACAGAAATAACTTACAAGGTTCTTGATAAAATGTCTGCTGGTAGTTACTAGCTGTTAGTTTTCAGGAATGTACTCTCCAGACAGTTCAAGTTTTAAGTAAGATAAGTTTTCAGTGAGTTTAAGTGTAGGGTTTCTGCAACTGCCCCAAAATGCCAGGCTCCTGGAATTATTCCAACAGAATGTTGGTACCTAAAGCAAGAGAAGGAGTCTCTAGGGGATGCAAATAGCTAACACACTCGGCTGCTAATGGAAAGATTGGTAGTGTGACTTCAATCAGACACAACTTGGAAGAAAGGCCGGATAATCTTCTTCTAAAAACTTAGCCATTGGAACACTATGGTGCACAGTACTACTCTGACACACAGGGGATCACCATGAGTCAGAAACGTTCTGTTTTCTAAAGCAAGAGCTCTCCCATAACCACAAGCCCTGGTGGTTCTCTCAGTTATGCCCATAGAGCACACTGGACTAGGAAGGAGTTCCTAAGAGCAGGCCTAGGGAAAAGCACGTTGGCTGACCAAGGAAGTTAGGCTATTTCAGCCCCTGCTTTCGCAATGTCCAGTAGAATATACCTTATACTTTTGATCACTGAATAGAGCATGGTGTCCCACTTTTTAGGTAAGAAATATTGTGATTAGAAGGAGCCCTGGTAGTGCCATAGGATAAGCACTGAACTGCTAACTGCAAGGTTGGCATTTCAAATCTACCAGCTGCTCCAAGGGCAAAAAAGATGAGGCTTTCTTCTCCTGTAAAGATTTATAGCTTCTGAAGCCTTATACAGGGCCACTGTGAGTCAGGATGACTTGTTTCTTTTTTTTTTTTTTTTTTTAAGGGGGCAGGGGGAAAGGCAAAAATATGATTTAGCTCCATTTGTATATAACCATAAGTGTTATTTCTAAACCTGACTGAAAGGACTATAGAGATTTGAATCCTGGAGCTCAATGTAATAATTGGACATAATTTTTTCTCCATCCCTTTAAGGAGATGTTAAATTGTAGAGCTACAGACAAGGAAATTTTTGGAAACTGCATGTTTTTGTGTATATGTGCAGAAAACCGAGGTGAAAAACAACAGATATGTTTTGAATTTCCTGACAGCAGCTCCTAGATACATTTTCCTGGGAACAGCACTGTCTTTCTTGGGGAATAGTGGTCACCTATATTCATGTGGTTCTAAAGGGGCTGCCAATAATCTCACCCCACCTTACAAGACCACATGAATGGGCTTGGGGCCCAGACCTGATCCTACATCCTGACAACAGTGATCAGTTCAGGGAGGAAACGTGAAGAATTAGAATCTAAGTATTTGCAGGGATGGGCATGGAAATAGATCTCGTTACATCTGAAATGGTTGTAATGATGTCAGCAGATAAAACCAGAGGAGAAGAAGAAAGAGGACAGAAAGTAGACAGGAAAGGAAGAATGGGAGGCCTACAAAATTGTTTCCTTTAATTCTGGCATGCCTGAAGTCAGCTCCATCCTAGAACTTCCTAGTAGGGTGAAGCAGTAATTTCCTCTACCACAGTTCTTTTTTTGGCTTAAACTAGCCTTAGTGGAGTTCTGTTTTAGCAACCTACACTATTCTTAAAATACAGAAGTCTACTGTAGAAGAAGCTCTATTATCTTAAGCAGCATATACATAAGAGAAGGAAAGTAATGGAATTTGAGCAATATGAGGTAGTAAATAAGTACAACATTTGGAATCCATTTTTTTTTTTTTTTAAATCCTTTCTAACTTGGTGACCTCCCACACAAGTAAAGTTTTACTAAAGGTAATACCGAAACAGCTGCAAGCATACACTGACAGAGAACTTAAAAGGTTCAAGCCGGATTCAGAAGAGGACACAGAACAAGGGATATCATTGTGGATGTCCGATGGATCTTGGCAGAAAGCAGAGAATATCAGAAAGATGTTTCCTGTTCTTTATTGACTATGCAAAGGCTTTCAATTGTATAGATCATGACAAGCTATGGACAACATTGTGAAGTATGAGTATTCCGGAACACTTAATTGTGCTCATGAGGAATCTGTACATGGACCAAGAG